AGTCGGGCGTGTCCCTCTACAGGAAGAATATTCATCCGCTCTCAGAAAATAGTCTGGTGATCCTTTTTGGACCAGCTTGCCATTTGTTGTTGTGCATTTTTGGCCTATTGCTTATTCTTCGTCCAGGATTCGCCTGTATGAGGACACACCCGACCTCAGACTAGGGGAGGGGTGGACATCATGGCGGGAGCGCACGTATTTCGGGGGCGGCCAAGAGGGGGGTGATGACCATCAGGCGATCGCAAACATGGATCAAGGGGACGTGGATTAACGCGGCGGATCCCGTTTCCATGTGAAATCGCGGATTTCCGCCGCCGAGCGAGGTGGCGCCGGCCGCATTTTGGGGAGGGTACCTCCCCTGATCCATGGATTTGGCGACCGCGCGCCAGATCCATGGATCGCTAATCCAGGTTTGCGCGCCCCCGAGACCAGGGGGGGGGGGGACATCATGGCGGGGGCCATGAGATCTCCCCTGGCCTGCTGAGAAGATCCCCAGGTCTTCCGCGAACGCAGAATGACCTCTCAGAAGGCCGGAGGACTTCTGAAAAGCCCCGCCGCCTTCTGAGATGGCCTTCTCCTTCTCACTTCCCCCCCTCAAGCGCCGCAGCGTATGGCGCCTGACCTACGTTCTGCGGGTTACGTGCTGCGCATCGGGGCAGCTGAGGTCCGGTGTTCCTTCGTCTCGTCGGACTCCGGAATGCGGCCCCAGACATCCGATGTTCTAACAAGATCAAGGCCAATGAGGAGGGTTTTCGCAGTGTTCCTCTTCGCATCGCTCGGACGTGTGAATTTGTTCTCGGCGGGAACCATCGAGGAGCATGTTAGGCCATCTTGCAGAAACCGAAATCTGCAAAAGGAGTAGACGTCCGAGCGATGGCAAGTCCTTGAGATCCTGGCATCTCAATGTTTCGAGCTGGGCGTTTTCGCTCAGTTACGGGCCCCAGGACCATCACAGATCGATCTGGTTCGAATCACGGCTCGAAAAGATTGGATCTGGGGCTCTGGTCGTGGTTTCTGGTATCCGTTTTCACTGTTTCGCGCTGTCTGTATTGTATCTGTGTTCATTGTTTTCATTGTTTTTTGGGTTTCATTGTTTCATTGGCTCGGCCTCCAGGGGACCTGGGCTGGGCCCCGGGCCCGTCCAAAGGTTGCTCGCGTTGAACGACCAAATCCCAGGAAAGGCATGGAAGGAGCCGCAGGCCCGCGTTCCGAGCAAGCCGAGACGCCGGATGCCTGGCTCCTGCCCTCTCGAGGGCCCTCCTCGCAGAGGCTTCCCAGGGAGGGGGGGGGGGAACGGCGGTCCCTTTGAGAAGCGCCCCCTCTGCCGTCTGAAGGGGGCCGCCCCCTTCCTCGCCGCCGCCCCTGCCACAAACATCTGATCCGGACAAGGGGCCCAAGACCTTAGCGGGCCCCGGTAACGACAGGGCAGTATGTTTGCAGTTCTCGTGAGTGCTTCATGTTTCGTTTCTGGCGCAGTTTTTGTCACGTTGCCAGCGCCAATGTTTTACCGTGTCCGTTGTTTTCGGTGGGGCCTGGTCCAGATCACATTTTTGTTCCGGGTCCGAGCCAGATTGCCCAGGCCGTTTCGGTGGACAGTTGTTTCACCGTTTCGTTGAACCGTCTTCTTGCCAGTCTCATGATCAAGAATCCGTGTGTGAAAACGCTGCAGCAAGTGCCTTGCCGCTTCCAGGGCCCACTTAGCCCAGAACCCCTCCCTGGGCCCAACCTCGACTTCCTGTTCCTTGACAGTAATTGTGCGATGCACTAGCTTGGCGGCTGGTGAAGCGAGCTGGAACTACGTGCAACGGTTTACAGGAAAATGCAAACAGCGGGCGGCGCCGACTGACAACGTGCAGCGGTGTGGAAAAGTATCCCAACGTCGTTGCCCACCCTTTTCCGAGCTGCGCCCGGGCCGCTGGCGGCGAGGGCCTCCGCAGAGACGCGGCGCCCCCCCCCCCCGCAAAGAAGACGACGGGACACGACGCCGACGGCGCTCTGACGGTGCCCGCCCGCCGCCCACCTCGAATGGGCGATCGGCTACAGAATTGGTGCACCCCAGAATTCATTGTCTCGGCATCGCTCGAACGTGTGCATTTTTTTCTCGGCGAGAACAATCGAGGACCATCCTGGACCATCGAGCAAAAAAAAACACGCACGAAACCGAAAAATGCACGGGAAATGGACGTCCGAGCGACGGCAAATTGTGCCCATCGAATCTACGACTCATGTGTAGAACTGTCCTCTCATTCGCAGATCCGACGAGAGATCCAAGGCTGGGGCAAGACCATTCTGCAGCCGATCTCTCCTGCTCGACCACTGCAGGAAGCAGCTGCGGGACGGGCCGGCGATCCTCGGCCACTACGAGCGGGTTCTCGCCGCGCTTGAGGCCGGCGCCCCCCCAACATACGAATAATATATATATATATATATATATATATATATATATTCCCTTTTCTATATTAGTTTTATAATTCCGGGGGTGCGGACCCCCCCCCCGAAACGGGACCCCCCCGGATCCGTGCCACGGGGGCAGCCGAAAGTCCTTTCCAAGGCGTGCACGCAGGCGGGCGGCAGTGCCAAACCGGTCGGCGCAAGCCCACAGAGACACCCAAGACAGTCCAGGATAGCACCCGGGTAGCCTTGAAGACCCTCCGCGAGAGCCCCAAGACCGTTCTCAAAGGGGGCCCGAGAGAACAAAATCATTGAATTTCCATTAGTTTTCCAATGTTTTTAGCGTCCTCGCTTTTTCGGGTTTCCGACGCTCCCGGACCGCCCAAGAAGCTCCCAAAACCGCTCCAAGACAGCCCAAGAAGCTCCCAGAGCGCGCTGAGAGCTCCCCAAGACGGTCCAAGACGCGCCCGAGATGGCCCACGAACGCTCCAAAACGGCCAAAAAGGGGCCCCAGATGGGACCACGAACTGAAAATACGAGCCTCCCGCCCCGAGAAGGCCCAAGGAGGCCCCAAGAGAGCTCCACAGGGCCTCGGGAAGCCCCCTAAGTAGCTCCGGTGAGGCTCCAAAAACATCCCAAATTGTTATTGTTCCATTGGTTGTTCAATGTTTTCAGCGTCCTCGTTTTTTCGAGTGTCCGACGCTCCAAGACCGCCCAAGAAGCTCCCCAAAACGCCCCACAACGACCCAAGAGGCTCCCAGAGCGCTCTGAGAAAGCCCCAAGACGGCCCAAGACGCGTCCCTAGGGGGGACCACGATCTGAACATACGAGCCTCCCGCCCCGAAAGAGCCCAAAGAAGCCCCAAGAGAGCTCCAAAGGGCCTCAGGAGGCCCCCTAAGCCGTTCCGGTGAGGCTCCAAAAACATTCAAAAATGCGACTTCCCCGTTAGTTTTTCAATGTTTTCAGCGTCCTGGCTTTTTCGGGTTTCCCACGTTCCAAGACCGCCCAAGAAGCCCCAAAACCGCTCCACAACGGCCCAAGGGGCTCCCAGAGCGTCCTGAAAAGCCCCAAGATGCGCCCCAAGACGGTCCAAGACGGCCCACGAACGCTCCGAGACGGCCCAAAGAAGGGCCCCAGGGAGGACCAGATAACTGAAAATACGAGCCTCCCACCCCGAAAGGACCCAAGGAGGCCCCAAGAGAGCTCCAAAGAGCTTCGGGGGGCTCCCTGGGAAGCTCCGGCGAAGCTCCAAAAAGCTTCCAAATCGTTAATTCTCCATTGGCTTAAGCGGAGGAGGAGAAGGAGGAGGAGGAGGAGGAGGAGAAGCAGGCAGAGAAAGAAGGAGAACGAGGCGGAGGAAGAGGAGGAGGAGGAGGAGGCGGAGGAGGAGGTGGAGGAGGGGAAGGAGGAGGAGGAGGAGGAGGAGGAGGAGGAGGAGGAGGAAGAAGCAGAGGCCACAATCCCGGGTTCGCAACCATTTTTCTGGAAATTCCGTTGTCAACCCAGGATTCCAGCATATTTCCTGTCACTCCGCTGACTTTGCGTTATTCAGTGCATCCGTAGCCTCGGGCTCAGTGTGGGCGACAGTTGCAACATGCCTCGTCACAAGGAGATTGTTATTACGTGCGCCGACTGTTGCGAAACTTTGCCAGCTGATGCCTTCCCCAAAACCCAGCTGCACCAATCCAACTGGGCCTGCATGTCATGTGCGAGTCAACGACTGCTAGCATGTAGCGGCCGTCCTGCACGAACGTCTGTTGCATGCAGCCGATGTGGGGAAATCCGCCTCCCTGTTCCTTCTCCTCCTCCTCCTCCTCCTCCGCCTCCTCCTCCGCCCCTCCGTAAATGGAGCAAGCGAGCGCTGCTCAAGCGGACGCAGGAGGGCGCAACGGCCCCACAACAGCAACCGTCAGACCGCTCCACAAGGCTCCGGGAGAACCCCCGCGAACCCACTCGAAGGGCTTCAGCGCCCCAAGGCGGCCCAGGGGCCTTCAAAAGGGGGTTCCGACGGCCCATAAGAGCCGAGCCGACCAAAACCTTGCCCGTCAAACCCGCCGCCGTCGAAATCGCACCTTTCCGCCGCCCCGCGCCCCCTTCATCTGATATTCCCTGAAGAATAGCCGCGCTATGCTCAGAATCCCGGGTTCGCAACCAATTTTCCGGAAATTCGGCTGCGAACCCGGGATTCCAGCTGTTTCCCGCGCGGCCCCCACTCACGTGCGCCATTCCATGCGCCCGCGGCCCACAGTTCGCAGTTTTGGCCCGTCCCAGGTTGATTGCCCCCCTTTCTGTTCTTCCTGCGCTTATCCGAGGTACGAACCAGCGGACCGCGGCTAAAATGGAAAAAAAGGATGGCACCACGGGCCAACCATTCCAAAGTTTCAAGGGACAAGGTGCATGGCGCGAAGCGCCAATGCAGCTTTGTATATATATATATGTGTGTGTGTATATGTATATGTATATGTGTTTGTGCGTGTGTGTGTGTGTGTGTGTGTGTGTGTGGGTGCGTGTGTGTGTGTGTGTGCGTGTGTGCGTGTGTGTGTGCGTGCGTGTGTGTGTGTGTGTGTGTGCGTGTGTGTGTGCGTGTGTGTGTGTGTGTTCGTCGCCCCGCTCGGGTTGACGCGCGCACCGAGAAATCTATAGTACATGCGTCGTGGCGGGCGCTGCCTGACCACCCCGCTGGGGAAACGGTCTACTACGAGATGGTTATACTATATGTTCGGGTCGGACGCGCGCCTCCGAGGAGGACGTATAGTACTAGTACGTCCTTGTGCTATGATGTTCCAACCTACTTTAGCCTTGACCACCAGAAAGAATTTCGAGCACCAAGAAAGTACCCAAACTCGAGGGTTTTTACGTGTCTGGCCCTGGGAGACACTCGTCCGACGCTGTTTCGACAATCTTGCGACACTTTTCCGGCTGCTCGAAACTACTTCTGGGATGTGGTCTTGAAGTACGATGGGAGCAACATAAGTCCTGGGGTCGTGTCGATTGCACGTCAGAGTGACCCTTCGCCGGGGTGACCTTGTGATGAGGGCCCATCGAGCGCAGGCATGCGACGCGACAGCAGCAGCTTGCGCGCTTGGGTTCGGCTCCCCCGCGCCTCGCCTCGAGCCGCCCGCCAAAGCCTGCGGCCGACCTGGCCTGCAGGCCGCTCCTTCCCCGCTGTTGGCCTCCCTGGGCCCTCCACGGGCCCTGGGTTGGTCTTGGCATCGCTCGGACGTGTGCATTTTTCCTTCGGCGAGGACCATCGAGGAGTGTCCTCGATCATTTGGCGAAGCAACCACGCACGAAACCGAAAAAAGCACAGGGAATGGACGTCCGAGCGATGGCCAGTGGTGTGAGAGCGGCTCAGCAGGGATGTGGTCCTGAAGTCAAGGGCATAAAAAAGCGCCCCTACCTTGGTTTACGAGGCGCTGTGCGCTGAAACTCCTGTGGGCTGACAGGGTAAACCCTGCGTGATGTTAAGATGTGCCGCGTCCTGGCGGCTCTAGGCTTTGGGGGTCCCCAGGAGGTTTACAGACCACGCACTTGTAACCCAGGATAGGGTCGTTTTTTCATCCCAGATGGGCGCCACAGAATCCTTGTGCGCCCCATGAGGGCGAGATCGCGTCCCTCGGTGGCGCGGCCGCCGCGCGCACCGCGGCCTCCTGAGCGGGTGGGCGGCCGCCTCGGCCACCGGTGCCGGGGCAGCCGGCTCCGGCGCCTGCTCCGCTGCGGGAGGCCCCCGCAGGCATCATCGGTGGGGCCACCGGTGCCCGTTCGGTAGGCAGGGGAGGGGACGGAGGTGGTCATCGAGAGGAGGGGCCCGCACCGGGACAGGAGGAGGAGAAGGAGGAGGAGGAGGAGGAAAGGGAGGAGGAGGAGGAGGAGGAGGAGGAGGAGGAGGAGGAGGAGGAGGAGGGAGGAGGGAGGAGGGAGGGGGAGAGGGAGGAGACCATCGTTGCTCCAACACAGCAAGGAGAGGAGGAGGAGGATGAGGAGGAGGAGGAGGAGGAGGAGGGCCAGTGTTAACCGAAGAGGCATCAACGGTGTTGGAATGCTCCCTCCTTCCACAATCCTTCTCCATAGGCCCCGACAGGGGGTGTTTCCACAGGAATTGCCCCGTTTGGGGACAAGCGTGCGAAAATCCTAAAGCGTGCCGAAACACCATTCCCAGAATTCCAACGTCACGAGGCAGAATGACTGTTGCGTCTTGACGAGCCTGAATCGTGCCAGAAAGCCATCCCTGGGACTTCCACTCCGCGAATCAAAGTAACTGTTGCGCCTTGACAGTCCTGAATCGCTCCAAAACGCGATTCCTCGTATATTACCTATGAGAGCGCATGAAACCCGTGCAAGCTGTTCAAAACGTTGTGCGCGGCGTTGAGGCGAGAGCCACATTTTGAAAGGAACCGCCATCAATCCATCAAACTCTGCAGATTAAAACTCGAATGTGCGCGGCGTTGAGGCGAGAACCACAGTTTGAAAACGTCCGCCATTAATCCATTAAACTGTTTACAGAAAATTCTGCAAATTTTTAAGACGAGTGTGCGCGGCGCTGAGGCGAGAGAGGAGGTGGAGGCAGGAGGGAGGACGGAGTCTAACGAGGAGTGTGAGGAGGGGGTCGGGGAGTAGGTGGGTGCAGAGGAGGTGGAGGTAGATCTTCGACTCCACGAGTTCACCTGACTGTAACGTTCTGGCGATCCTGAGTCTTGCCAGAACACCATTCCTGGGACTTCAGCACCAAACACCCCGATCAACGTAACTGTTCCGCCCTGGTAATCCTGAGTCGCCCCACAACGTTTTTCTGGTACATTACCCTTGGGAACCAACGAAACCCATGCGAATGTTTAAGACGAGTATGCGCGGCGCTCAGGAGAGAGCCACATTTTAAAACGGCCCGCCGTCAATCAGGGAAGCAGTTGCAATTGTTTAGGACGGATGTGCGCGGCTCTAAGGTGAGAGCCACAGTTTGACAATTACCCGCTTTCAATCACTGAAAGTCTTGCAAATATTTAAGACGAGTTTGCGCGGCGCTCAGGCGGTAGCCACGTTTAAAAAACGAACCGCCCTCCATTCATTAAACTCTTGCAAATGTTCCCATCAAATTTGCACGGTGTTCCTGCGAGAGCCACAGTTTGAAAACGACCCGCCTTCCATCTGTGAAGGTCTTATCAATGTTTGAGCATCAGGGTCATAAGTGGTGAGGAAGTCTCAGGCGACACGCCTGGCCCGCCCTTTCGACCGGCTTCGGGGTGTGACAGAGACGAGTTATCCATAAGGGAGAGGAATGGAGGGGGGAGGAGGTGGAAGAGGTGGAGGTGGAGGAGCAGGAGAATTCTGGAGAAGGAGAGGGCCAGTCCGCCCAAGCGGTGCTTGGCTGCGAGCCGGCACGAACTCCTCCCCGCAGGAGCAAACGTTGCTCGATCTGGCCATCAGCGGCGCCGCGCCTGGCCAGCTGCGGCCCCCGGGCGGCGCCTTTCGCCCGCCGTCGCCTGGGGCGTCCGGCGGCCGCCGCGCTGCCAGCGCCTCCACTGCCCGCTGCGGCCTCCGGGCCGTCCGCCGCCCGGCTCCACCGAGCGCAGGCCCACCGCCCTGCGGAGCTGGCGCGCTGCGGCGGCCTGCAGGCAGCAACTCAGGAGGAGAAGAAGCACACAGACACAATTAATCCTCGATTCCCCAGAAAATATGGGAAAATATGGGAAGTGGGGGGGAAGACAAAAAACCCAAAAATATGGGGAAATATGCAACATATTTTTATTTGTGTGTATTTATTTGTGTGTCCTGGGGCCTTTTCAGCAACTCAGGACCCGGTAGGCCCGCGCCACCTCCCGCGGCTGCTGATATTTTCGGGCGGCCGGCGCGCCTGCCCGAGCAACCAGAGGCGGGCCTCGGCGCCGAGCCGGCCTCGAGGACGAAGGGCGTCCGCCTGTCACCAGGGCAGCAGGAGTGCTTGTCTCGCTCCCCGCCCGCGGCGGCGGGCGTTTCCGCCCCGCCGCGCGGCCACACGCAGCTCGGCCTGGGTCCCGGCCGCGGGAACACGCACAGAAACGTCGAGCCAGCGCCGGGTGTCGTCGTCCTGGCATTCCAAATCCAAGATGGCGCTGTCGGCGGCCGTCCAGGTGGTGGCGGTCACAGGTCGGCACCCTCTGCTCGAAGAGGGGCCTCTCGCCGCGCCAGCGCTGGACGAGGCCGCCGACTCTCCTGTGGAGTCCCCCGTGGCGCGCCACCACGCCCCCGCCGAGCTGGCAAGTGAGGGCATGGTAGCCCTGCCCGTCCAGCGCCCCGGCGCGGCCAGCTCTGCCAGCGCCGCGCAAGCAGCAGGCGGCCCTCGCCCTCGCAGGCTCGTGCTGACGGATCTCTGCGCGTGGGAGCTGCAGCCGGCGCGCCAGTCTGCCAGAGGGCGTCCTCCAGCGTGCAGGGAGCGTCTTCCAGGTTAGCGAGTAAAGCCCCGCTGCCGCTCCCCGCGGCGCCCCGCAGTTCGGCCTGCCGGGAAAGATGCAAGTGTCGCAGCACAGCTGCGCGTCATCTCCTTTTGCACCGTCTCCGTGGCCAGGTCTTGTCTGACGAACGAATTGTAGCGCGGTCGCCAAGTCCCCGCCCGCGGCGAGCTCCAGCTCTTGGGCCTGCAGTCCGCGCCGCGCTGGTTCCCAGCTGCTGAGCCGCCCGCAGCAGCCAGTCCAAGCAGTCTGCTAGCGTTCCGCGGCCCTGGTCCTCCGTGACCTCCTCCGCCGCCCCCGTCCAGGAAGGCCGCACGGCGGCGCCTGCTGGCCATTTGCGCGCCGAAGTTTCCAAACTTGGTTGGGAGGCAGAGAAGCTCCGAAGCTCCTTGGCTGCGTCGTCAGGGTCCCACTCCAGGAGGTCCCGCCAGCAAGCCGTGAGCAGGTCGTCGTACTGCTGCGTCGCGGCGTCCGTTGCGAGCTCCATCCGCCAGGGATGTTGGGTTGCTGGGCCGGCGTGAATGCAGAGGAAAAGTGCCGCCGCCTGCTTTCTTGAGCCCAGCCTTTTGCAGCTCCTTCAGCTCCCCCCCGAGCTGGAGGAGGTGGAGGAGGAGGAGGAGGAGGAGGTGGAGGTGGGCGAGGTGGAGGGGTGCGAAGTGGAGGGGACGCAGTGAAGGTTGAGGAGTGCAGGTGGAGGTGGAAGTGGTGGACACTGTCCCGATGGTCTCGGTTGTCCTGGCAGTGCAACTCAGGCCGGTGCTCCCGCTGACTCTGACGGGAGGGCTCGCTGCTTTGTCCTTTCGCGGGCGGCGCCTGCCGCACTGGCGTCGTCCTTCGGCACCTCGGAGAGCGGCGGTTGCTCACCAGCACCGACCTTCCGAGACGGGGATATATACGGTAAGGAGCGCTTGCTCAGCGTGTCGCGCCGCCGGTTCTGGCACGCCAGGCTTCGGCGCAACACGCTAATTAACCACTTTCCAGCCCCCGAGCATCATCGCCCCGAGCTTTTCCCAGCCTCCCGTCCCGCGAAGCAGGGCGGCACGCTGTCAGCATGCAGGGCGCCGTGTGTCGCAGGGGCCGCCTGCGCGACGCGCTGCGCACATGTTCCTGCCTGTGTCCGTAGCCACTGCCTGGGGGACCGATCTTCGGGGACCTCGGCAGGCGGTGGATATGGACACATTCGGGCCCTTGCGGGGGGGGGGGGGGGGGACAATCATATTCAGGAGGGAAAAGAAAACACAGACACAATTAATCGTCGATTCCCCAGAAAATATTGGAAAATATGGGAAGTGGGGGGGAAGACAAAAACCCAGAAAATATGGGAAAATATGCGGAATCTGTTTGTTTGTGTGTATTTATTTGTGTGTCCTGGGGCCCCTTCACATATCAACAGCCACCGCCTGCCGAGCTCCTCGAAGACTGACTCCCCATGCGGGCGCTGTAGAGGAGCCCCCGCCTCGCAGCTCCTCGCTGGGCCCATGCCCGGGCACCGGATCGGTGCGTGCGCCCTCGTGGCTCGGCCAGGAGGTCGTGCACACCAGTCCTGGGCCCAGCAGGGGCCCTGCTGGGGCCGGCGTTGGTTCACAGTCGGCGTCCTCCTGGCACCAGCTCTTCACCGCGACGCCGTGGAGGCCTGCCGTTCACCTCAGCACGTCACCACCCACCAACCCACCCCAACCCAACCCGAAGGCCCCGATTTGCCATCCATTTCCAGTGGGGGGGTTCGGGGAACATAGAAAAAACACGTATGGAACCCATACCCCCCCCAACCCGAAATTCGGGTCTTCGGGTTGGGTTGGGGTGGTCTGGTAGGTAGTCAGCCCGCTCCAGCGCTGAGGCCCGGTTGGGACTGCGCGTGCCTGGCGCGCGCATGCGGCTGTAGGCCGCATGCGCGCGGGGGCTGCGAATCTTCCTCGCGCATGGGGCCGCACGTAGGGGGCCACATGTGAACCCTACTCCTACCACTCACGATTTCTGAGGGGGAGGGTGGGGTTCACTTCGCTCGGGAGCTCCCGAACGAAATGAACCCCACCCTCCCCCTCAGAAAGGGGTAGGGGTAGGTTTCATGTGTGGACCCCTAGCACGGGTCGCGGTGGTGGGTCCGCCTCCGGCGGCATGCAGTCAGCAGTCAGGGGCATCGCTGGGGCGGGGGGCATGGGCTCAGGGAGGACGCATCGACCACCAGCCGCCCAGCGAGCGCCGAGAAGGGCCTGAGAGTCCCACCCCTCCAGGAAGGCGTGCGGATTCGCCATCCGGGGCATATCACCGATCTATTGGCGATGTATCGCCGATTCCAACTCGATGTTTCCCCCCCCCCTTGAGCTGGTCCCCCCCGTTTGCGTTGCCCCACACGCAGGCT